CTACTGCCGTTTTTGAAGGACAGCTCACTTTCCTCCTTGACATTTTGTTGAATGTAAACTATAAATTGTGCTCTGTGTATGTGAAGGAAACCTTTCGGTCCCTGCCCGGTTAATTGTCTCTTTTGTAATTGGCCTTACATAGATTGTATTGTTTTCTCTCTAAATGCCAAGGGCAGCCCGGTCCGCCCCTCAGCCCCCAGATGTGAGCTCTGGAGGTCAGAGAATCGCCAGGGGACAGCCCCAAATGCCCGCTCTTGGTTGTCAGAACGCCTCTGCCCCCTGTGCTCTGAAGACCACTCTGCCAGCCCAAGGGCTTACCCTCCCTCCTCGGTTAACCTGCTTCTTCCACCATTTTGTTTTTCATAACTCAGGGTGGACCTTTCCTTTAGTGTGCAGTATGGGGAGAGAATATGAATGGGAAAACGTTCTGGCATGACTCGTAGCCCCTCCAGAACAATTAAGTATCTTTCGTTGTTCTTCAAAGAGTAAAATGAGATGACCTGTGAGGTACCGTGAGCAGGGAATGAACTTTAAGGTTATGTCAGGTTTACGGTGCGCCGTCCGCACTAGCGGTTATGGGACTGTAAACGTAGTTAGCCCTAAAGGTCTGGGAAGTCATTGTGTGGCCACGGAACTAAGTTCCGTCAGATGCATGTTGGCTTCAGCACCAACTGAGGCTTAGGAACTGTAGCCATAAGCCTGATGGAATGCCCTAAGAGTCAGGGTGCGCCGGGCTCTGAACAGTTAGGTTGTAGCCTCTGCCCAGGGGACCATCCGCTGTGTTGGGTTGGGGTTCTTTAACCGTCGTGTGGCTTAACATTGGGCTCTTCCTGCTCTTTTCCAGAGTGACTTTCCAACCAGGATGTCCCTTGTGGTCTGATGTTTGTTTTCAAGCCGTCTCTCTGGGTGACTAGAAATCAGGAGCAGACTATGGAGACAAGACACAAATCCAAGAGCCAGCAGGCCCGGGACCTTCTCTGGACACCACCTTGGAAGATTTGACCTTTGCTTTGGCAAGGGATTGGGGGGGAGCGTCCTTTAAGGGGGGGGGGGCTGATTCCAAACTTCAGCGTACATCTAACTGGTGTGAGAAACAAGATGACTACGTTGTGAGAACATTCCACGCACGGAGTGTCTCATCCACTGAGTTCATCCTGCCTGATGTTTTTCCTTAGCCAAACCGGGATTCCTTTTCCAATTCTTAAAGGGAGTTAGCTCTGGACCGCCGATCCCTGGAAAACGCCTCCGCCTACGGTATGCTCTTCTGTACTTCCTGTGCTGTGCTTAGAGACAGAAGAACTTATTACTACCATTAGAAGAAGGCCTGATACTGACAACAGAAGATAGCTTTAGGCAAAGTATACCTTTTACCCCCGTCTCCCAGTCACTAGTCAGTGACTATTGTTACGCTAAAATCAGAGGGCCTTTGGTGAGCTCAGTGACAGTGACCTGCTGGACGATCACTGAAGTGACTTCAACTTGCCGTTCCGAATGACATGCCTTGAGTGGCTGCGACAAAACAAAAGAGTATACGTTTTTGAAAAGCTGTGCAAGTGGGATTTCTTTTTCCACTCTGAGAACATAAACTGCTTTTTCTCCTTCTGCTGTGCACAGTGACATGTGAGTCCCGGACATTAAGGGCTCTCCTCACCCTCCTTCTCCGGGACTTTTCACATGGCGATGCCACCCACAGAGCCCCACCTCCCTCTGCACCCTGATTCACTTGTCATCAGGTGCCTTTTGATAAACGCTTAAAACGCACACGTGAAAAGGAAGGGGAAGGGGAAGAGAAAGGACAAAGCAGTAAGTAGCGAAAAATGGAAAAGAATTTAAGGGGAAAAGAATATACGATCTCATTAGTTTTGGATGTGGGCCATTTCCCCTACAGATTCCACGTGATCTTCTCTGGTTTTGTACTTCATTTACCGTGAGTTGTTTCCGCCATCCCAGCCCTGCCCTTCCAGGACACCGGAGATGGTGGAGTGTGCAACTCTTCGCCTCATCAGATTGCTGCTCTAGATGCTTTGGGAAACAAGTGATCCGGCTCTCTCGGGAAGCAACACTTCCTATTCCCACCCTTGCCTAAATGACAGATTTTGCCTAAATCCCAAAGCTAGATATCTCTGGATGTTGTAATTTGTGTAGATTGCAAAACAAACAAACAAACAAAAAAAAAACAAAACGAAACAAAAAAAACGGCCATAAATTCTTCCCTCCTCATCAAGAGGTGCGGCCTGTTTCTCTACCCCTTACATCTGGGATTGGCCATGTGATTTGATTTGGCCGGTGGCCCAAAACAAATGTAACACAAGCAGAGACTTGGAAAAATTTTTGTGCATGGGGCCTGTTTTCTCCTGCTGCTCTTGGAAACCCTGCAGTTGCCACTAGGTGCACAAGCCTGGGCTGTCCTGCTGCATGATGAGAAAAAAAGGCCCGGTGTCCCTGCCACCCTGACAGCCCATCAAGTCTCAGCTGATCGCAAACACCGGCGCGAGCCAGCCGCGACCAACAGAAGAACTGCCTCGCTGAGCCCAGCCCAAGTTGCTGATTCCTGCTCAAGGCTGAGAAGTTGGTGCACCTGTTACATGTTCCTTTCTCTTCGAGGAAAAGCTATTTCTTCTTGTCTGGGTGTTCTTCATCCCTGACTCCATCTAACCTAGGCGTCTCACAGTCTCCACTTTCTTTGGCAAACGTTTGTCAAAGCTTTTCACCCCACGCCATTGTGGTGGGACACAGGGTTGGGTCAGATCCCCGGAGGACAATGATACCTGGCCTCCCAGCAGTGGTAAATTTTTTTATCTTTGAATCCCCGGGCAACCTACGAAGGTTTCTTCTTCAGCAACTCCTTGGTCTTCTCCAGAGCGACCTGATTGGAGCTGGGCCCTATTCTCAGAGTACCATTCCACTGGTATCCATTTACTTCGTGACGTGTCCAAAACCGTCCTGCGTGTGCAGTGAAATAAAGAAGTGGCTGGTGGTGAGGGTCAGAGGATGAGTTGATATCACTGCTTGGAGGAGAACTGGCCCACCAAGCGACTTTGCAGTGGCTTCGGCCTGTCTGAGAGGAACCAGGGACGGTTCAGCCCAGCGCTGGCACTTCCAAGGGTGGGGGACACAAGCCATAACCCTGGTGCTGAGTTTTAGACTAGCTGGTGTGTCCCTGGCCTCTAAGAGCCTAGGTCTAGTCTGTTTGTTTTGGCCCCAGTTCAGACGGAGAAGATGATTAAACATCATCATTTCTTAGTCACCAGCTTTGGATTTCAACTTGCTCAGGCAATTCTAGAGAATATTGGGTAGCTGTAGTAGCTATTATCTCTTTATACTGAGCACTGTGTCAGGCTTCTCTCCACCAAAGAGCCCCATAGCACCAGCTGCAGAGACCAAACATATTGCTTTTGTTAGCCGAGGGCATGTATGATTTTGGTGAAGGTTAGGGGAGTCGTGGAAAAGAATTATTAAAATTGGAAACCTGCAGTTCCAAAGACAACAAAACTACAGACAGTCAACACAATAAAAAACACAAAGATGACAGGCTACTGAAATAACTTGGGGAGATAGGACCAGGTTGTCCCCTGTAGGGCTGCATAAATCACTGAAATTTCCAGGCCTTCGGCCAGGAGAGAACACCTGCTTCTGGGTATGGGGACGCAGACAGGGTTGACTGCACAAGTGAAGGTAAAGCTGGCCATCCTCGGCACCCCGGCTTTTCTCAGTGGGTCCTTTTGTTTCTTCCCTGAATAGTGTTTCCCACATAGGACGGACTTAACACACATTAGCTTCCTTCCTAGGTTCCATTGGGTACAAAATAAGTCTTGTGGAAGACATGGTCTCTGTCCACTGGGACCCTGCAATTGAACAGGCGAAATAAGACATGCCCAAGAAAGAATTAGGAGATTTTATGCATATAATGTGAAATATTGCTATGGATAAATTATAACAAACCCAGAGAATTAAAGTTTTTAAATTTAAATGGGTATATTTTGATATTTAAATGTTGTGTGTGTGTGTGTGTGTGTCCATCCATTGTATTTAAAGATCTGCTCAGTGTCCTGAAAAGCCAGTGTTAAAAAAGTGTGACTGCAAGAGGTGAATTCGGATGGGGGAGGGGGGAGTACAAGGCCGAGGGCCCAGTGGGTTGATGGAGGAGCTGCTGTGTTTGCCTGTGAGTCACAGCTGAGTCAGGGATGTGTTGGATAAGAGGGCGTGGATGCAGGTGGCAGGAGGTATCCCCCAGGACTGCTTCTTTAGGTCCTGCGTAGACTCACCTGGAAGCCCGGGACGCTTGCGGTGGCCCCGGTGGTACATGTCAGCTGTCCCGCCCGGGCGTGCCCCCCGGGGGAGCTCTGCGTCTCCTTATCCAGGGGCTCCATTCCGCAGCCGTGAGTGTTGCTGGCCACCGTCACCCGCACGGAGCAAGTCTGGCGGAGATAATGGGCCTCTCCTCTCCCTTCCCGCGACCGTCCCTCTGCACCTGGCACGGGACTGTGCAGAGTGGGGGTGGGAAGAGGCTGCCACCGGAGCCCGAGGCGCTCCGTGCTGAAAACAGCCACGTCGGTAAATAGTTCTAAATAGTCTGAAAGATTTCACGTAGGCAATCTGATTAGATGTCAGGCAGCCTTTTCGGGAGGCCGAAGTCACAGACACTGCTGTAATCCAGCCCCCCTTTCCTTTGTGGCTGGAGAAACGAACTGTCACTGCCATTAGTGAAATCACAAATCTGATTCAGCCTTTAGACTCCAAGCCGTTGCTGCTGGGTCAGTGTTTCCCCAAATTGCCTAACCGTACAAATTACTTGATTGCTGTTAAACATGTAGTGTTGGGCCCTGTCTTGGAGATTTATTGGGTGGGTCTGCAGCGAGGACTTGTTCTTTTAACGTACGTTTCAGAAGAGTCCTGTGATCAGACGCGTTTGGAAAATGCTGCACTAGATCGTAACTAAGGTGCACCCCGGTCTCGAGGCCTCCTTGGGCTTTGAAATTTTTGCTTAAACATCTTGGGGAGGTCCCTTTTACTCCCTTGGGGCTGGCAGTGGTGAAGCACCCAGCAATCTGGCTGCCACGGTGGTAACTGACTCGCCAGGGTCCAGGGGTAGAACTGTCTGAGGCAGAGAGAAAGGAAAGCTAGGCGCACTCCCAAGAACCTGTTCTAGATGTTTCTAATCCTGGAAAAGTGATCTGTTGTGACGATCCCAGATCTGACAACAAGAATTACAGGTAATTTTCTCATTCCCTTGATGTCACTCCGAGCAAAACTTAGATCGTGAATAGAAAGGAAAAAGACCATTGGGAAACGGCAAATCATTTTTTGAAGCATTCAAATTGCCAGCCTGGCTGTGGTCAACACCCACTGCCACCTTAAGGCCCAAAGTGGGATGGATGGGCAAGAATAACAAAATCTACATTACCCTTCCAAGGTCAGATTTAGATGATGCTAGAATCTTGCAAGAGTTGAAACTGATTTATAGGATGTAGAGATCCAAATTCACCAAAATAGGGCTTCAGGTACTTAAAGTCCTAGAGAAAAAAAGTGCCTAGTTTTTTGTGTGT